CCCCAGTTGGGGTGTGTGTCACACGCCGATATTTCTTTCCCTCTTTCTGCCTTATTTCCCCTCTCTCTAAAAAAAAATAAATAAATTTTTTTTTAAAAAGTTAAAATACATTAAAAATACAATAAAAAGGCAGAGGTTTTCAGAATGGATTTAAAAAACAAGATCTAACTGTATGGTGCTTATGAGAAATGCATTTTAGTTTTTTAGAGATTTTATTCATTTTTTAGAGAGAGGGGAAGGGAGGGAGAAAGAGAGGGAAAGAAACATGGATGTGCTACAGAAACATCAATCAGTTGCCTCTTGCACACCCCCAAACAAGGACTTAGCTAGCAACCCAGGCACAGGTCCTGATTGGGAATTTAACCAGTGATGTTTTGGTTTGTAGTAGAAGGCTCATACCGCTGAGCCACACCAGGGAGGGCCAAGTAATGCATTTTAAATATGAAAATATAAACAGGTTAGAGTAAAAGGACAGGGAAAGACATACCACACTAACACTACACTACACTACATTACACTACACTAACACTAACTGTGGTAACATACCACACTAACACTGCACTACACTATACACACTAACACTACACTAATACTAACTAAAAGAAAGAATAATGGATGTGTTAGTATTTGCCAAAGTAAATTTCAAAGTAAACAATATCACCAGGGACAAGAAAGTCACTTTATGATGATAAAGGGTCAATTCATCAAGAGGACAGTACAATTCTAAACATTCTATGTACCTAATTACAATACTACAAAAGACATGAAAAAAACCCCCGATAGAACTGGAAGGAGAAATAGACAGGTCGACACTTATAGTCCCACCTCTCTCAATAATTAATTGACAGAATAGAAAGTCAACAAGTACAGAGAAGACTTGAACAACATTACCAACTTTCCTTAATTGACATTTATGGAGCATTATGACATAATAGAATACTCTACCCAACAATAAACAGCAAAATATACTGCTGGAATAGAATACATTTTTCTCAAATGCACATAGAACATTTCTAAGACAGGCTACATTTTGGGCCATAAAACAAGACTGAATACATTTTAAAGAACTTAAGTCACAGAAGGTATGTTTTTTAACTACATGAAATTAAATTTGAAATCAGTAACAAAAAGATACTAGGAAAATCCCCAAATACTGAAACTCCAAACTACACAACATACCTCTAAACTAACCCATGGTTCAAAGATAAAAACAAAAGTGAAATATGAAAATAATTTGAATTGAATAAAAATACAACATATCAAAACTGATGGGGTGCAAATAAATCAGTGTTTAAGGATAAATCTATAGGACTAAACACCTAAGATTGGACTCAATAACTTTAGTTTTCACATTAAGAAACTAGAAAAAGGAGCAAATTAAACACAAAGTAAAAGAAAGAGAATAATATATATCAAATTACAAATTGATGAAACTGAAAACAGAAAAACAAAGAAAAATCAAATCAAAAGCTGGTTCTTTTGAAATCAATAAAACACATAGGAATCAACAATGTTGAGAATCAACAGTGTGCTCATTGTTGATATTTAAGCTATTTATCTTGTTACATTCTAAGAAATTACATTGTTACATTATCTTGTTACACTGAAGAAATTATTGAGACACAACGAAGTATTAGATATATAGACTCAGAGGTTACAGTTCTAATCTACCTATTTTTCTCTGAAAAATATAAAAGGCATATTGATCCCTAGACAAACCACATAGCTCTTCCAAACAAACAACAGTTTTCTTGGAAATAAAATAAAGGGACTGAATTAGAAAATCTCTTAAAATCTCTTTAAACATGCCAAATAAAAGGTATATGTATACTACTAACAGCTATAAATGACCTATACAAGATGCTCTGATAAAACCCTGGGAAACTAGGGAGAAGTTGGTCAATCTGCCCGTAACTAAATTCATGTGTTTAAATATCAGCCTTGGGGGAAATGAAAGGAGAATTTCAGTTCAATTTAAAATCAAAGGCCAATATTACTAATTAACTTAATTGTCACTTCTCCACTCATTACCCCTGTGAGAAAGCCATGTTAGATGTGTTACTACTTACTCAATTTTTGTCCTCAATCATACTCCTTCCAGTAATATGAATTCCTGACTAATAGGAGGTATGTCCAGAAAAAGTCCAACCACTGTTAATAAAATGAGAATGGATTGCGTGATACCAATGTAACTTGGCAATGATGTAACCTGGCAAGGAGAGTGGACTGGAATGCAGATGTGTGAACACTGACCACTTCACTGTACTAGTCAGTGGGGGCAGTAGACCCATTTAGTGAGCATGTGTACCATGTGGCCTTCGCATTCAAAATGACTGAGCTAGTAGAGCAACAAATCTGCACTCAATTTTGCTTTAAGCTTGAACATTCCCTGGTGGAAACTATTTGGATGAATCAGAAGGCCACAGCTATGGGTCAGGGGTGATTGGCAGCTTCACATCGACAACATGCCATTCATGCATCACATCTCCTGCAGAGGTTTTGGCAAAACATCAAATCACCCAGGTGACTCAGTCCCCCTACAGCCCAGATTTGGAGCCCTGCAACTTCTGGCTTTTCCCAAAACTAAAATCACCTTTGAAAGGGAAGAGATTTCAGACCATTGATGAGATTCAGTAAAGTACGATGGGGCTGCTGACAGTGATTGGGAGAATTGTGTAAGGTCAGAGGTGCTTACTTTGAAGGGGACTGGGGTATTATTGTCCTTTGTACAATGTTTCTCCCTATTTTTTGTATTACATGACTGGATACTTTCTGGATAGTGTGTGTATATGTGTGCATGAAACTACAAAATGAAGTTAGAGAAGCCGGAATGAAATGAGGGCCTCTCATAAACAATTTATTTGTTCAAATGTCCTACTGAGGACCAGGCATTTTTATCGTCTGATATTTAGAAAACTTCTGCTGCCACCTTTTAGGAGAATATTACCTGATGCAAATATACCATAACTAATATTGAAATCTGCCCTGAGTGTCTGGGTCTGGATAAACAACTAGTCTTGCATAGTTGTCAATTTTAAAAGCACGGACTCCAGAGCCATATCATTTGAGTTCTAATTCTGATTATGCCATTTACTAGTTATTGTACAAATTATTTAACTTTATGGAGATTATTATGAGTATTAAATAAATCAGCACATGTAAAGGTATTATTTATTATCTTCCTCTCCCATCTAGTTTGATAAAGAATATCAGAAGCTATGAAAATTTTATAAAAATTTTTGAAATAACGCATTAAGAAAACTTACACTTCTCTCAAATTTAAGCTCCTATTAAATTATATGTTGATGTATTTAAGTGGATCTATAATCATGAAAACATAAATATACATAAGTAGCTTAAAGAACAGTTTTAAAATGAGACCAAAGGAGCTTTTGTGTTCAACTATGTAATGCAGTGGCACCGCAGACCTCCCAAATTCTCCCTAAACTTGGATAATTTAGAAGTATTAAATGCAGGTTCTATGTAAGACCTTTCACCTTCAATATTTTAAAATACCCTCATGGCCCACTAAAAGTTGCATGCTGAATAGAAAGATGTGGGTCACATTCTAACAGCCACTCAATAATTGTGTGACCTAACCAAGGGTCCTATTTACTCAATCTCATTTCCTACATCTGTGGCATACTGAGGGGAGAACAATGAAATGCCTCCTCCACACAACACTTCTCAATTCATGTTTCTTTTCCTTCATGTTTGATGTCACCTGTTGATTAAATGTGTAATTGCAACATAAATACACATTTTTAGTGATCCTTCGGAAGCTTTACTTCAAAACCACTATGCAATTAAAATAGGGTGGGAATAATCTTCTGATGTAATTAAATAAGATTGGTACAACTTTTGTAATAAATGCCCACTTCAGAGTAATTAAGATAAAGCATCATCATAAGGTGGTGAGAATCCTATGATCACCATCACTTCCTGGAAGTAGCTTCAAGAAATACCCAACTCTAGACAATTTTAATTCATTCAAACATTTTTGGCAAATATTCTGGTATCCAAAAGAATGAGACTAAATAATATTCAACGGATTATTATTATTTGGAAATGTATTCCACAACTAATTTATTCTGGGCCTACTCGCAGGGAGCTTTTCTAGGAATTAAATATTCTATAATACAAAATAATTTTTTTAAAGGTAGGTATTTTCATTTAAAAACCTATCTCCAAACTTTCTGAGTCAAAGCATTCTCTTCCATGCGCAGAACTCGGTTTTTGCCACTTCCCTGAGAGATGTGCAAACCCGGACCCACAACAGGGAGTCCTGTTTGTGCCACCTTCAAGTGGAGTGCCTGGTACAGCTTTCCATTCCTACAATCCCTATCTATTTTATGGACTCTCTTTTGATAATGTGGACTCAGTCCGGACACAAAGACTAGGGATACCGAGGGACTGTGTCCATAAACGGCACTCACCACGTGGCCCCAAGTTCTCAGGAAGAACGGAGGCAAGCAGCTGACCAGAACCTAGAGGCCAACGTAAACCTGAAACACCTGCTCAAAGCCCATCAACTACTCCTTTAATCAATCAATCAATCAATCAATCACCAATCAATGTTTTGACAGGCCATTTCCTCCCCTCTTAAGAACAACCCAAGTAAACCGGTACCCTAAATCCTTTAAGTGTACTAGGCTGTTCCTCCCGTTTTTCAGGGGATCGGGTGAGAACTACTGAGGGAAACGACAGTAAGGAGGAGCGGACTAGAAATCTCCGGAAGAAAACAGCTGCTGAAAGGATCAATTGTCTCACTCATTCTTTGACCAAAAGCTGCACTGAGAACGAGTTACTGACTCTGGGAAGAAGGAACTTCCCTAGGGCCAGCCGCCGCCCAGCTGGCTTCGCTCCGCGGTCCCCACTCTACAGGCCTGAGTCTTCACCGTGAAAGGTACAAACCCTGGAACCGCCACACACTTCCGCAACCGCTCGCCCCGGGAAACCCCTTCGGGCTCCGCGGCGGGGCGCGCCCTCCTGGTACTCACACACACACAACTCCACCACGTACGCGTAGTAGGACCAGGCCACCACAAAGGCGATGAACAGCACCGGCACCCAGCCTACGCCGCGCTGGCAGCAGCGCCAGGACCGTCCCGGCGCCATGTTCCGGGGTGGCTGCAGCACCAAGGCCCAAGGAGTACAGAGCCTAAGGTATCTACGCCGCAAATCAGATGACGGCTGGTCCCGCGGAACCGCCCCCGAGGCCCCCAGCCGCAGCGCCAGGCCCCGCCCCCGCTCCAGGCCCCGCCCCCGCGCCAGCGGTCGCCTCACCTTGGGGCAGGGCTCCTTTGACCAAAACGGGAAGGCCGGCTCTTAGGGCGGGCCCTCGGCTCCCGACCGCCGGGGGCTGGGCTGCCGGAGCCTAACGTGGAGGCTACTCCGGGACTCGGGATTGGGGGGGGGCGGTGCCTGCCTCGTGTGCGCTGAGTTGGAAAGCACTTCCTGGATAGCAGAGCCGGATCAGGGACTGCTCTGTTAGCACAAACTGCTCTCTCGGGGCCCATTTTCAAGTAGGGTGAGGCTGTGCCCCAGCAACTGAAGGCAAGGGTTGTCCGGTATTGTAAGGCTCCTTTAGGGAGGCCAATGTGCACCTCTGATTAAAAACCCTGAACTTTGAAATCCCTTGCTCCGCGTTTCAGGCCTAACCCCTCCATTTTTCGAGGAATGGAACCAGTAGATGCCTGTGATTTAGCATGGAAGCTTGTAGAGTCGTCAATTTGATTTTAAACACAAACTGAAATCTGAATTGGAAAAAGGAGAGCAACAGCCCTTTCCCTGATCCCCAAGGTACTACTGAAATTTCGAGAATTTATTTACGACTACAGTATTCTTCTAAACAATACTTGTTAATCTTAATAGAACATAAAACCAGCACTATGAAGATGTAATACAAGTAATTCCAAACTGCATTTCCTGATACTTCATGTCTATTTTTCAGTAAGGTCTCCATGAAGCATATTTCCCCCTTTTATAGTGTGACGTGAAGGTTATAAAGGCAAATAATATTTCTAGCGCTAGAAATACTAAAAGGTGTGTAAATATTCTGTTCTCCCAGATTTTATACCTTGAAAGTCATGATGGTGTCAAAGCTGACAGTAGCTTCAAGGCATTAAAGTGAAAAAATTCAGCTTGTTTTCTAGAGATCCTGCTTAAAAGGATCAGGCTTTCAAATGGAATTTGAATTATTGACAGAAACACGATAACTTAAATCTGCCATCTCTAAAACTCAGCACAAATGTCACATCCTGCAGAAGTCCTTCTTGATCACATCGGTGGCAATGATTTCTTTCTTTTGTGCTGTTTTGCTTGCAACACATCTATTAGCTTCCTGGAGTACCACACACTGGGTGGCTTAACACAACAAAAATTTATTGTGACGGTGGCCTGCAGTGTAGCAGAGGAGAAGGTGATAAGGAAGCTATTTAAGACTTCAACTTTGGTGGACCTCTTTGCTCCGAAAACATACCAATAGTAGATGTAAATCTAAAAATAGAAAACCAACAGATAAACTCAGGCGCAAGGTTCCATTTGTTGGGGTACCCAGACCCCAACAAATGAGAAAGAAAAATGTATATACTGATCAACCCTCAGAATCGTGACTTCTAACAGAGGCTGGAGGACACACTGAAGCTCCTCGACCTGGAACCAAGCTTCCAGCTAGCCTGGTGACTAGATATATGGTGTCCCCTTAATGAAGCCAGGAACTTCAAAATGCCATTTTAAGTTCTACTTCTGAACTTAGAGCTGGGGTAAAATAAGGGCAACTAGAGACAGCTATGAAACTATTAGGCAGGGTTTATAGAAACCACATAGCAGTCAAGAAAATAGAGAAAACTTCTTCAGTCCAAAAGAAGATAGGAAATGAAAGGGAGGGGGGAAGCAACAAGAACAACAAAAAATTAGAAACAGAAACACACATGAGATGATGTAACCAAATGCAGTTCCAGCAGCCCATCTACTGGAAAGCCAATATTTGAGAGGGAGGTGTTCATGTAAAAGAAAGTGGTTTTATTCAGGTGTCGACAACCTGGAAGATGAGGGACTCTCATCTCAAAGCCCATCTCAACACCTCAGTACAGGCAGGAGTTTTTATGGGAGAGAGAGGGACACCGAAGAGAACAAAGAGATCAGGGGGAGAGGCATGCAGGCAGTATTCTTGCTGGTCCTGATATATATCTTTAATGTCAGCATCCTGGAGCAGATCAGTGCCAGCCAGATTCCTGCAGTTGGGAGATCTGCATCAACTGAAATGGTAAAGGCTGTTTCATGTACAAGCAGGAACTGGAACTGCTGGCACCTGCAATATGCTTACAAAGAAACTGTCAGTATGTGAGTTCTTTCCATCAGTTTGTTTCTAGATTTTATTCTAGTTCCATTTCATGGTAAATCAGAGTAGTATAAAGTTTTTATTCCCTGTTATAATTCTTCATTGTTAATTTTTCCTCCATATCTATGGAGCAATTGATGTACTCTGAATCTTCTGGGGAAATGAAAAACCTGAGTCTGTTGTAAAGCAAAATCTCATGAGTTAAAAGCAGATATATTTTTTAGAGGTGCCTGTTGAGCAGATATAATTTTTCTGGTGTGGGAAAAATAGGTCATAAGGAAGTTTAAAACAATAAAGACAAGCATTATAAAGAATACCCATGGACATAAACAAAGGTGGGGGATTGCCTGAGGGGAGTAGGAGTTGCTGAGGGGGCAAAGGAGTGAAAATTGGGATGACTGTGTAACAGCACAATCAATAAAATATTTTTTTTAAAAAGAATGGTTAGACCTAAATTAAAAGTTCCTCCTAATGTGGACCTGAGTCCTAGTAGTATCCATGAAAATAGACTTACAACCCAATGTCAAAGAGGGAACTGGATGGTCCAGTGTTTGTTGAAGCCAAGGTACCCTGTTGCCTGACTTTGGTAATGCTTGTTTCCACCTAAGTTGAGGTGTCAATGTAAGTACAAGAGGAGTTGATGGTTGTGCAAACTCCTTGTTCTGCTAGTATGTAGACTAAGGCAATTCAATTATCTAAGACAACTTTAGCTAGGAAGTCCAGAGACTTTTTAATATTAGCAAGTAAAGTGGCAGTTTTATTGGCTATGGTGATTAAACTCTTGGAGAGATTCCAACGTACATGTTGATGAGCAGCTATTCTCCACAGGGTAACAGAGTACATCTAAAGATATATTCATCATTGTCTGGGATTTCTCCAGGGAGATCTCAGGCCATGTGGTTGAACATTGATTGCTTGCCCTGGAGTTTTATCATCCCAGAGAGTTTAATTTATTTGCTTGTAGACCTCAGGAAAGAACAGTTCTCCTCTGGGTCCACCTAAACAGGTTAAAAGCATCTGGAGTTGGAGTGCATGTTCTGGTGGGACCTGCAGGTGGAGCTGCTGTCTTTCAGGAGAAAAGGTTACTTAGGGGCGGCACTTTACAGAGCAAGTCCCCATCACTCTGCTGGGTTGTTCAGGCAAATACAGGAAGCTGAGGAAGCTTTGTGAAACTTAAGAGCTCTGGGTTGGCATTCTAATGACTGGAGGGAGGCTTGTTGCTGCATTTGTCTTGTTACCCTTACAACTGAGGCTCTTGTGGGTTTTTGCTGTTGTTGTTGTTAGTCAATTTGGTGTTCAATGCAGAATATGTGGCTCCCATGTCTACTAAAAGTCAATCAACTTGTTCTGCATTGTATCTGGGGCTCTTGTGGGGAAATAATAATGGGTTGGGAGGTGTGTAGAGGAGCTTTGAACTTCCTCGTTTATTATCTGAGTCATCATTCCATTTCATCATCTGCCTGTGTGTCTTTTTATATTTCATTTATCTTTCCCATGCCTGTTACCAGGCACCTGAGCTTTCCACTTTGGTGACCTTCTGCACCTGGTCTATTCTTGTTCCAATCTTGTCTATGCATAAGTGAAAATATAACTTTGAAGACAATCGAACTAGAGTTTAATGTCCATAACTGTGTATTACAGACTCTATTGAAATAATGTCTCCTTCTATAATCACCCTCATTTTTATCAAAGAGCCTTTTATCGATTAAGAATAAGTTATTTATTGTATTAATTCCATTTCAATTGTGCTTCATTATTTGCATAAACACAACAGAAATAGCAATAGATCGTATACTCTCTCTTTTTTTTTAAATAATTTTATTTATTTATTTTTAGAGAGGGAAGGGAGGGAGATAGAGAAAGAGAGAGAGAGAAACATCAATGTGTGGTTGCTGGGGGTTATGGCCTGCAACCCAGGAATGTACCCTGGCTGGGAATCGAACCTGGGACACTTTGGTTCCCAGCCCGTGCTCAATCTACTGAGCTACGCCAGCCAGGGCTGTACTCTCTCTCTTTTAAAAAAGGTTTTATTTATTTATTTCACAGGGAGAGGAAAGGAGGGAGAAAAGCATCACTTGGTTGTCTCTCACACACCCTGAACTGGGGTCCTGGCCTGCAACCCAGGTATGTGCCCTGACTGGGAATTGAACCAGTGACTATTTGGTCCATAGTCGGGTACTCAAGCCACTGAGCCACAATAGCCAGGGTTCATATAGGCTCTCTTAAATGTGCTTTTCTGGAATCTTATAAAAAATTTCCATATAGAGCTTTAATTAGCCCCACAGGGCAAAGAAGCCAAGCCAGTCAGTTGCTATTAGGCTTTGTCTGCAATACCTATAACTTTGGATTAGTTCCTCTGTTGGGAACCATCCTGCCTGGTTTCAGAAGCTGTAACCCCACTGACAGGAGAAAAGGTCCCATGGCTAGGGAACCTTGGGACCATAAGCTACTAAGGAGACAAAACTTATCTTCCTGGCAGGGGAGCAGCCTCTGCCCCCTTTTACTTCACCCTGCTTGGCCCCTGGAGGATAGCTGGATAGTCAGTGACAGGTATGATTCCTCAAGGAAGGAACAACCTAAGATGGGCATAGTTGTGAAGGGCCATCAGAGAAGGATTTAGGGGATTATGGAGGAGGGACAAAAGACTGGCTTTATCATAGCCTGGGTCCTCATTCTATCTGTAAAAAGTCTCCTAATCTCTTGGCTGCTTTGCTTCCCTTACCTGATTCAGGCCTGAAACAATGCCGAAGGGGGCTGCAGCCCTGTGCCAGAACCACTGGTTCCCAGCGGGGGGTTGGAGGGGGTAGGCATCAGGCCTGAGAAAAAATGCATTAAATCCTGTGAAACCTGCT